ATTGATTTCGCCGTTCTGTCTCCATTTAAAAAAGGAAAGTTGACGTTAGATTGATTCTGTTAATTTTTTTAAACATCGTTGGTCAAATAGCTTAAGAATTATATAAATACGTTGTGAGATTTATAATATTTTAATAAGGGCATTCCTGATTAGGTAAATGAAGATCGCTTTGGACGACAAAACTATATTTTCGTAACTGATAATTTTCTCTGCACATTTAAATATTCAAGGTTACCGATGATAATTTAAAATAGTACTGTTTTGATTTATACGCTCGTTTTCGTGGGCCATTTATAATATTTATATAATTATTTTATTGAAAGTGATCATGATTCAGAATTTCGATATGTTACTCACCTATTTATTTAAAAACTGAGCAAATGCAAAATGTTAAAAACAAATATATATATAACGGCGATTAAGGTATTTTGCCACCATATTCCTCCCTTAATAATTAAAAAAAATCTGTCTCAAACCTGCAACGGTGAACCCTTGAGGACAAACACCACTCTAGTGAAGATCAAAGGATTAAAATTACATAATGCTAATCTTTTAATTACCGTGAATTTAACCACGCCTTTACCAGGTGGTGTCAGCATAATACACATGCATTGTATTTACACAGTACTAGACTGAAGCAAGGATTTGTATAGTAAGACATATCCTCGACTGAAGTAATAGGGGAGAATACAAACGTGAATTTCTATTATACTATCAGTTATATATGTTGTTCCACATATCCGTCGAAAAAAAAATCATAAAAAAATTCGATTGTATGATTTGCTTTTATTACTATAATCATATCAGAAATCCTTAAAATATAAATCGTAAATTTTAATTTAAAAAAATGCACGGCTGATCACTTTTCTTTCTGAATTGTTAGTTGGTTAATAGCTACACCAAAAGTCGTTGATGCGCTTTAAATCGCGTTATTAGATGATTAACGAACAAGACTTTAAATGAGATTAATCCACTCCCGGCATGCAAAAAGACTTAAACTACGTCACATAAGTCAGGAAGTTTGAATAAATAGAATTAATAATTCCCAATTTTCTTCTTTATTAGTTTTCATATCCAGATAAAACTTGGTGAATATGTTTTTAATGGTATTATGAACATAATAAGATGATAAGTAAAAAATCGCGAATTTTCCCTTTAAGTTTCTATCTTTCTATCATATTTTTTCAGATATTAGGCAAAAATGATAAAAATTGTCATTAAAGGGCAATAACTCCAATAAGGGGTCGACTGTCGATTCCAACAATGAATTTTATTTGTAGATCTTGTCTTGCTGATCATTTCTGCTTATTCAAGTTTCTTTCTATCTATTATATTTTTTCAGATATTCGGCAAAAACACAAAAAATTGATAAAATCGTCATTAAAGGGCAATAACTCCAATAAGGAGTTGTCTGACGATTTCGACTATATATATCTATTGTAGAACTTGTCTTGTTGCTCATTTTTGCTGTTTAAAGTGTCTCTCTATCTATTCTAATTTTCAAGATACTGATAGACAAAAATATAAAACATTGGTAAAAATTCTTCATTTTAGGGCAATAACTCCTATAAGTCGTCTGACAGTTTAGATGTAAATAGACAAGTGGTAGATCTCATCATTCTGAATATTTCTGCCCCGGTCAGATTTTCTCTTTCTATAGCGGTTTTCAAGATAATAGACAAAACTTGCATTTTACCCTTATGTTCTTTTTTAAGCCATGTTGGTCATCTTGGTTGGCAGGCGGGGTCATCGGTGCTCTCAAATGCTCTGGAAGGGTTAGCTGATCCATCTCTACATTTGGCACCATTCATGTTGCCCATGGTAAGTTATAATTCAGTAATAAGTTTCATTCGGTAATGTCACAATCGATGGAAACGATAAACAGCCGGTCAACTGTGACATAGATATTCAATAACAGACCACCAACTTGTGATGGCATCCTTTCAAAGGGATGATTTCAATTTACCACTTGGAACCCTTGGTTCAAAAGCTTCCTTTTAAGCAGCAACCCTCCATTAAGGAAATCATGATAGGAAACTCACGTTCTGGAGTATCGTATCAACTGGGAGATACATTACATCATCTGTTGGAATGTTGCTAAATAGAAAGGAAAGTTCACAATTGGGAGGCTTAAATCTTATGAAACAGGTCTGATTTATCTGTGGTATCAATTTCAAACTATTCAATTGGTTAGATGGTATAGCGGAAAGTGATGTTAAAGGATGATGCTAGCTTCTTAACATTCTTCACTAAGCCCATGTATGAAAGAAACATATTGACAAGAAGACGGAAGACAGTTGGGTTTGTAGAGTTTTTTGTAGAGCAGTAGAGGTTTTGACTTAATGTTATACCTATACAATCAACTCTTTCATTACATACAGCCACATGGTGTTGCAGTTCCTACTAGCATCGTCATTATGATATGTGTATCAGAGAACGGATACGTTCCATTTGTCATAGCCACAATGCCGTCCGCCTTGATATCTTCAGACAGTCTTACCTTTTTTAAATATATAATTTTTTTTTAAGTAGGCGACAAGCTGGGCATGCATGCGCGATCGATGAATACCTTCATTTGAGTGACATTCATTCTGTCTTATAAATGATCGACTTTTTTGTCTTTAATATCATTTCCCCTCAAACAGGTTCAGAGGTATGCATATAGGTTTTCATATGTCCGTCCTCTGGCCGCATGGTTTTGCGTCCGTCCATGATGGATATGTATATAACCATCCGTTGGTCGGTTTGTAGTTATATCGGTAAATAGAGAATGCCTTGACAGAAAAAAATTGGATTTTTGGGGTGAAAGAAATTCAATATGGAACATTTTTTTAAAGGAGGTCGACTTTAGTTGATTTCGCTTTGAATACAGTTTCCATCTCTGATATGAAAAAGATTATTTTTGTGGTACAAACATGATCAAGCAAAATTAGCATTGATAGTTTCCGAAACATATAAATTATACCTGGAAAACTTAAGAATGAGCTCTATCAGATTTTGAACTTGGTTGACTGTGACATTATTATAAATTGTGATGAACTGTACTAAAAAAACTATATATTCCATATGAAACAACAATACTACATAGAGCTAGAAAACATCACACGGCTGATCTGCTACGATATGCATATTAGTAGAATGAGGTAGTAGTATGGCAGGGTAGGGGTGAAATTAAAAAACATACAAGACTAACAAAGGCCAGAGGCTCCTGACTTGGGACAGGCACAAACATGCGGCAGGGTTAAACATGTTTTGTGAGATCTCAACCCTCCCACTTTTTATATAAGATATCTTATACACTTTATAAGATATCTCATATATTTTATAAGATATAATATATACTTTATAAGATATCTCATACAGCTTATTATATATCTTATATAGTTTATAAGATATCTCATATATTTTTTTTTATAAGATATCTTATAAATGATATAAATTATCGAATTGTATGGCAAGCCGTTTTACTATGTATGCTAACTTAAAGATATCTCATATAATATCTTTATAAGATATATTATATACTTTATGAGATATCTTATAAACTTTAGAAGATATCTTATAAAGTATATCATATATCTTATAAAGTATATCAGATATCTTATATCGTTTATTAGATATCTTATAAAAACTAGATTATATATAGATATCTTATATATTATATGAGATATCTTGAAGTTAGAATACATACTAAAACGGCTTGCAATACAATCCCGTCTCATATAAAACATAGCAACACCATACGAATGATTAATAATGCATGGACTTCATCAACAAAGAGGATGTTATTTGGTAAAAGTAATATTGTGACTGTGAACATTTATTTAGCAGTTAAAAAGATACATAACAATACGCTTTCTGAAACGGATTTAAATTAAAAAAATAAAAATGATCCTTATTGCAATGCTTTGTCGTTTAAAGCCTTTGTTGACAAACATGTACACATAAAAGGCCACCACTGGTCAGCATATTTTGAATACGTTAGAGTTATTGCACAAGGCACAACAGTAAACTGTTGTTATCCTGTAGCCATTAAGCTTTTGTTGTTTTTTTTATTAACAATTTTCGAAAGCATTGTTGATGAATAAAAACCAACTCACGACTGAATGAATTGATGATATGTGACTTCTTTGCTCATAGAAATACTCCGCTATCATTTTCCCATCCTGTGACTTTATGTCAATATATATTACATCTTAGATAATACATTTTATTATACCTCAGTATGTTTTTCTTGCCTTATTTACAGAAATAGACAAAGAAACAGGGGAAAAATGCAAGGTCATTGGAGCAGGATATGCTTACCCTTCCGGAGCACTTGGGGTCACCCCCCGGTTTTTGGTGGGATTTGTGTTGCTCAATCTGGTTTTCTATGTTGTGTTTTGTGTCTTATCGTCGAGTTTGAATATCCTTTGGTATGTTTACCTATCATTTCCCCTTGTTTCATGCCGAATACAAATAAATTTCACATTTTTGGGTGTTGGTATATCTTTTTTCCTGTCAAATTTTATAGACTCTGGTTGATTTAAATCTAGATATATTGTATAAACAACTATCTGTTGTTGATGAACGTATGTTGTCTTCTACATGTCTTTTGGTTATTTTGTTGTTGGATTGCTGTCTCAGTAACATATAACCCAAATCATCTTTTATCCGATATAACAACACAAATAAAACTCTAATCTTAAATTTGGAGCCATTTTGCATTTGGAGAGTTTAATATTAAAAATTTTAGGAGGAGTATATTCTTTTGATGTCATATGGATACTTTTAATGTCTAGTTTGGACAACGTGTGCTTATCATTTAAAGTATACAAGATTTAAATCTTAAAAATGATGATGCAGGTGTCAGTACTCGGCTGGGGCTTGCCCCCGTTCTATAGGGGTAGTTTCACAATAAAAACAAATAAAGATATATATAAATCTTTAAAGATTTAAGGAGCAGTAAATCTGGTCCTGTTAATGTAATTCAACATTTCAGCAAATCAAAGACCACAACAAAAAATCAACTAATTTTAATCTCATTTTAACAATTTGTATAGAATTAGGAACTTAACAAAGTCCTAAACATTTTATTTACACAATGATAGATTGACACTTTCATTAACAAAAGACACTACAATTATTGAAATGTCACTTTTAACAACACAACATATGAAAATATATATATTTAATATATGTTCAGATTTTCAACCAAATCATACTTTTATTAACCATTTTTTTCATGCAAATGCTCAATTCTTCTTTCAATTTACCAAGCACTGTTACTAAAATTATATAAGCGTTTAATGTTGTCAGGTTTTATGGACTTGCCTCTCTTTGAATTTACCTTGGACTTTTGAAACATGAATCAAAATATGTATTTCAAAAAGTCTGATTTCATTTTTATGTTTATAAGACCCTTTTCAAGTGCCTTTATGAAGTAACCCAAACCACGATTTACAGTAATTTTTTGGTTTAAATGATGTAAGCCATAAACAATTCTTAAAATTTAGTGCTACTGGTAGCTTAAAATATGATGCCACACATCATAAAATTTAGTCTCATTTGATGCTTATGGTATTGAAAAAGGGGTATATGATGCTTAACGATAAAGGCCATGTATTCTTCAATGTTTTTTGGCAAAATTTGATAACGTTAATTGCTAGGTCTGCCAGTATCAGAATGCCAAAACTTAGATATTGGTTTGACACTATAAATTACTTAGAACTTTCCCAAACTCATTTCTGTTTAACATCATAAATATTATCCAATATATCATGTATGAAGGGAGAAAGGACCTTTTTCTGGAATTTGGGATTGAGCCAGTTAACTCGCGGGAATTCCAGAATAGAGTTCATTGTCATGAATTCAGGAATTGAGGATTTAATTACATCCTGATGCGGGAATGGAAACAAAATTGGGAAACATAATTTTCACGGGAATTCAGGATTTGGCATTTATTTTCTCAGGAATTAGTTATCATACCACCTCTCTCATACCTGCCTCCATGTATGGTAATTGAGACAAAAGACCGTCAATTTTACTAATTATAGATTAGTTCATAATGCAACATATTTTGTTATTACATTTTGGTAATCCCTTGAATAGAAATGTACAAAATAATCAGATCTGCAATAAACTACTTGGGAACTCAAATGGATAGAAGTTGTCAAATATTCAATAATGTTAATTTTTTTAAACAAAATGTAGCTAATTAAGGACCAAAGTCATCACAGACAAGTTCAAATCAAATCACATACAATACGCTGTTTTTCTTGTTTTGAACAACATCACCCTCAGAATTACATGTAAAAGGCTGGTATTTATGATTCTCAATATGTGCAGAAATTGAGATAGCTGTCAAAGCAATCTTAAGAATTATTAAGAATTATTAATAATCATTAACAGGAAGACTATCACTAACTTTTTAGTGTGAAAATTTCCTAAAACAATAAAAGCAATAGTGGTATCAATTTCAAAATTAATTATCATACTATGAACCAGAAACTATGCATGATTATTTTATTTTCACTTTTCTTTTTAACAGCAAATGTGCAAAAATGAAAATATGCAAAATTAATCACTAAAAGATGGGACATATTCATTTTGCACACACAAAAATGTTTCATACGTGAAACATAATCAATGCAAATACAGATCTTTATAGTAGAGGCACATCACAAGAATTATATGGATGAGTTTCACAATATCTAAAAACAATTGTCTTTTTGGATGACAGAACTATAAATTTTTGGTTTTATGCTGCTGTTGGATTGCTGTCTCATCTATGTATACCAAAAAGCTTCTGTTATGCAGGCTTATATTATTGCTTAAAACAAACTTAAACCACTTTAATATCAAACTGTTTTCTGCATGAAAAAGAATAAAATAAAAAATCTGATATTCTAATAAGTAGCAAAGTGAATAAATAACATGCATGAAATCAAAACATTGTATTGCTATAAATATTTAAGTAAAATATATTAACAAACATGGAAAGACCAGTATATCACAAATATTTTCATGAAAAGACAAGCTTACAATGAATGACATATACAACCCATACCTGCCACCAAACTCTGGAGCTACAAAGTAGAAGATCTTCTTTTTTCAGGCTCCACTAAAAGGGGAGATAATGTTTGACAACCTTTTTTTCATTAGAATTTTTTAACATTTCAGCACAAAAATATAAAATTTAATTTTTCCATACATGGATTTGATTAATTTTAAATAACATTCTTAATGGCCTGGGATGTCTTCTTTACTCTACAAATAACCATTTTTGGCAATACAATGAAAATCAATAACAGAAGATACTACCAATCAACTCAAATTATAAAAGGGGGTGAAGATAGGGGGTATTTAAAAAAAAAGGGAGATTCTAAAATTGAGAATGGAAATGGGGAATGTGTCAAAGAGACAACAACCCGACCACAGAACAGACAACAGCAGAAGGCCACCAACAGGTCTTCAATGTACTACATGTACCTTTGCAGGTGACAGGTCAAAAAGAGATGATTTCAATTTTTTAAAGGAAAAAAAGGACGTCTCCCTCATAGATCTAGTGCATTGGAAGGTATCAAACCCAACCAATACCCATATCTTTATTTCGAGGTATGAAGAAGTATGAAACATAGATTGTATCAAGATTATATCTTGAGTATAAATAAGTCACATGATAAATGTAGATAATGGATGAAACAAGTGCTTCATATAAAAAGAAGATGTGGTATGATTGCCAATGAGACAACTCTCCACAAGAGACCAAATGACACAGAAATTCATGACTATTAGTTCATTAAAGAGGCAATGTATCACATGTGTCCAGTACATATGCTGTAAATTTAGAAATTATTGTGAGTTTTTTTTTAATGCAAATAATGTGACTGGGTGAGTATCACAATAATGAGAATTTGCATTCTGATATCTGATATATATATATGTAGGCAGGTTTTCCTTAAATCACAATAATTAATCTCTCATTTTTGTCCATTCTTAAAAAATCGCAATAATAAATGCACGCAATAATTTCTGATTTCACAGTAAATAATTGGCTACAATCAATGAAAAATTTGGCATCAGTGGTCTGACAACAGTAAGCAAATTATGGTATAGAAATAAAAGCTGTCTCAATAGGAACAAGATCATTTCAATTTTGTACTTACAGAGAATTGCAAACAGCATAAACAAAAGTATAAGATCTAAAGTATCTGGTGAAGCTTAACCAAATCAGGATTGGCTGGAAATCTTATCTTAAGAGTGTCAGAGATATAACATTTTGTCTTTTTCTCTTATCCATTCCTTATGCACAAGAACAAGCCTGAAGTGGGATTTGATTACAACCTTCTTCAACTGAAAAATGTGTGGGATAAGACTTGTTATGGTGTAACTCATTCAATAGCAACTGAAGCCTTATATCACAGGCACATGCTCTTAACTACTAATTAGTGTTAATCAGCTAATAATTTGAAGCAATAGAGTCCTTCAACTGTTTGATTGGCTTAATTCTGGGTGGATCCTGTGTTTGAGGAAAGAGGGGTGAAATTTGAAATGATAAAAATAGCTAGGACGATTTGATGCCATTTTTTTTTTCTTTCTACGATTACCTAAATCCACATTTGTAGTTATTGGGAAAATCTATGAACAAAATTATAGAAAAATCTTTTGTACCTTAGAATAGGAACATTACCTCAAAAATATATAGAATGTTATACTATATGCTCTAGCCTCTTAATAGTAAGGTTTTATGATAGATGGCAAGACTGGACTAAAAATAATTTTATTTCTGACAAAAGCAGAAAGCTGGGTAGATAAGCAGCAATATGCAGGTTTTTACCAAATAAAATAAGAAATACATAAATAGTTATAAGCTATTACAGTGAAACAAGTTTAAACTAAACCCTGCATAAACCAGAAACAAAATTCTTGAATCAGGACATAGTGATTTTTCTTCAATTATCAAACATGTGGGAGCCTAACTGCTGTATAATCTAAACAAAATCTTCATTTTCATAGGGGTTTGGTTCAGAAAGGATTTACTGTCATATTTAAATGTAAAACAGTTATTTATAATATGAAGTATTGTAATGTAAACCAAGGTTTAATGAAAGCCATATGTAGTAGTATTCACTGTTGGTAAGTTGTACTGGTTTGCAACAATGCGGAGCAAAGGACTTAGGCAGAGCCCTGCTTCAAATCCCTGCTACTATTGTAATGAATATTCAGTTTATGCAACTTTAAAACCAATGTTTGATTGTTTTTGCTTTATACAAACTACTAAACAATCTGAATTATAAATTTTAAAATGTTAGTAATAAAAAGTAGTACATAATTTTGTTTGTTTCTCACCATTTCATTGTACTGCTAGAACCATTAGGATTTCTAGCAAGGGAAAGAACTAAGCTTCAATTTATAATTCTGAATCCTGAAATTACATCTGGGAAAGGTTTACTAAATATGACTGTAATGAATAGAATGGATAACTTGAACAAGAATAATTTGCTGTAACACCCCATTTAATAATACCATGGAAAACCCCTAATATGCATCAGCACACATGATTTCATTTTTCAAAAATATAAACACTTTTAATTTGATCAACTTGGAATCAAACAAACAACAATCAATCGACCAATGAAAAAAAGGGTATAACTAAGTTATTTTGATCTTTGACCATAATCAAATATATGAAATGCCAATGGAAACATGTGTATTTAAAACTTTGGTGTACTGTAAATTCAGAAATTATTGCGATGTTTTTATTATTGCGAAAAATGCGACAGGGTTATTAACGCAATAATTTAAACTCGCATTTTGAAATTTTTTTATATGAATTAAACAGGATTTTTCTCAATATCGCAAAAATTAAAATCGCATTTTAGTCTAAAGTGACAAAATCGCAATAATAAATGCACGCAATATTTTCTGAATTTACAGTAAGTTGTTGTAGCTTACTTCTGATGATGTACATGGTACCAAATTATGATGAAATACTTGTTATTTTCACAAGGCTAAAAAACTGGCCCTATAATTTCTTCTCCTGAATGAAAGACTTACAAAAAATAAAACAGTTCATAAACATGATTTTAAAACAATGATAAATGCTCACAAGGCCAAATGAAAAGTACAATGCTTTTATTCCTTAAAAAACAACTTTATTGTCTTCCCAAAAGACTTCACATGAAAAATATGATATTTATTCGAAGGCTAAATAATAAGAAAGTAAGTACAAAAATGTATATCACAATCCAACTCTTGATAATTTTTTGTTTTAAATGAATCCTCATTTTTGAAATAAAAATAGTTCTGCATATTTAGTTAAGAAATTTAAACTAATTTGTCAAGCCTAAATTTACTGCATGATACATATATATGATACCAATACTAAATATACCACATAAATGTATTTCAAAATGCATTCTCTTTTTTATATACCCTGTAAACAATTAACTTATCATCAAGTCTTCATTGTTTGCTTATTAGTTGACTCAATTCCTTTAAAGTATGTTAGCCTTTGATCAATTGAGAAATCATTAAGAAACTAAAGTTCCAACTTCCTCAGTCAAAGTTGACCGTTGATGAATTTGGCTATTCTTACTTGGTCCCTTTTGGTCATATAGCTTTTTAACTATCCTTGTATTTATACGTCCATGGCTTTCAATTGTTAAAGTTTTAGTGTTACTGGTATAGGTAAATCCAGAAAAGTGCTTCAATGCACAAAATTTATAAAGTGTTATTTTCATCATTTAGAAGAAATACAAATATTTTTCATTTGGCCTTAGAGAATGACAGATTAATGACCGATGAATCATAAAAATGTAACACGTTTTGATGGCTTCCCATCGCTGGGATCATCACTGAACATATCAGAAAAATAAAAATCAAAACTACAAGAAGGCTGTTCCACCTGATCAACACTATTATCATCTGAAGGGACTTGGAGTCGAGACATTGTGTCATTTCCAAATTTATCACTTGCTTTAACACTACTATCACTCTGTTCAGAATTTAGGTCAAGTGATTCACCAAGACCTTCATCACCTTTCTGCAGAGTACTTAGACGGAAAACTGATTTATGATTATTTGACCGTTGAGTGTTAGGGTCTGATATGTGTTTGTGTTCTCGAGCACGTTCTTCCTCGTGTATGTGTTCTCGTTCAAGATCATATCTGCTCTTTTGTTTATTGAATGGTTCAGATTTTTCTTCAAAAATTGTATCGGGGAAAGTTTTTAACGGCGATGTAGATTTTGGTGATGAAGGATCACTAGTTATTACAGTTGTTGGCACTTCCATAGAAATTCCTTGTGACCCATTTTCCTTTTCTTTTATTGTATCCATTTTAAATGAGCGTTTAAGTCTTTCCATTGACATTTGACTTCTTTTTCTGGACAGTCTACGATCTGAAATAAAAGCAAAACTATCTTATACATGAAGATGTGTATTAAAATGACAAATTGTTTTATACTGTATTTATTTTGTATTGTAATCTGACCATCAATTACACATACAGTATTAGATAAGCACTATTACTGAAGTTGGAAAAATCTATCTTTATATTACTTTGCTTTTTCTTTAAAAATGACTATTGCTTAAATATCATTATTTATGACAATTTCATAGGTCTCAGTATTTTGTTTTGGAGAAAATGAGCGTTCTGAGTGGACTTAACAAACTGTAGAAGAAAATAACTGATATAAAAATTACCACGGTAACAGAACATCAAATGCATTATGCTATAGCTTTATTTGGAGTGTAAAGATTAACTTATTTTTACGAAAAAATGTCGTCCAGATACCATTTGACTACTCAGCAGATAATGCCATTGAATATATCACCTAGACCTACTAAGATAGGGGTTTCTGTCTTCAGGACATGCTAGATTTTAAAGATCACTTACCAGGGTGTTTAACCTGAAGAGGTGGGACCTTTTATCAGAAGTACAAACAATTACAAATCTGAAGATAATTCAGCTTCATTGACATTTGAACCAATTGAAAAAGCATGCTCCCTTTTCAGAATAACCAATTTTTAATCAAAATCCTACTAGTCCTGGTCATCATGCCCAATATGCTAGAAAGAGGAGAAAATACCAAGTACACAATCAAAAACCCTAATTCGAAGAAAAAAACAGACAATACTATGGCCGAAAAAAAACCAAACAAAACGAGGAAACGATAAACAAGTCCAAAATAACAATACACAGAAAACTAAAGATCAAGTAACAGGAACCCAACCAAAATCAAGGATGATCGCTGATGCTTTAGAAGGATAACAATTTCCTGCTCCACTTGTGGCACTGTCATGTTGCTCGTGGCAAGTAAACATTTGGCAATAAGTCACATAATGTCATATTCAAGGAAGAGAGGAGATTGTGGCTACGTCTCTTTGGTCATCTGAGAAACAGATCTACAATAACGGTCTATCAAATCATGATAGCTTCTGTAAAACTTTCAAAGGGATGATTTCAGCTTTACTGGTATCATTTGGAATCCTTGGTTTAATAAAAAAATTATGTTGTCAGGAACTACATTTTCATGATTTTTTAGCAAGTTAGACATGCAAGAAATATATACTTTTTTGTACACAACAACAAAATGTGATGCATTATAAGAAAAATGTATAACGAGAGAAAATCACTGATTTAGAGATATTCCCTGGATAAAGTCTCTATCTTAAAATGTCTTTAATCGTAAAATTGAATTTTCTAATAAATCAGTATTTAGCTTCTATAAAATTAAACCATCCTCACTGAAATACTCTATATATATGAATTTCTTCTTTAAAATAAAAATATATTTGTTAGTTGAAATTATCAGTAGATTAATTATAAATGAATAAAATTACAAAACATTGAAAGCACAAAGAAGGCAAGGCATTACAATGTCAAAAGCCATAAAAATAAAGTGTTAACACTACACTATTGGTGCTTCTAGACAACCATGGTTAGAAAATATACTAGGCCAAGCAGCAAGATAATATGATGAAGAATCTTCAGCTCAATAGTAAATTTCATTTGTTACAAATCGCTAATGGGAAATGTTTCTATGAGTGTGCCTATTTGTTAGTTAGATTATACCATATCAAATGAACTTAGAACGGTTTCAGATGCTGATCCAGGATTTAGAAAAGGGAGGCCCCCAACAAGACAATGTTAGGAGTGTGACTTGTAAAAAGACCATGCATTAATCATATACGTAGCTCCATAAGGGAGGCCTGCCCCTTCCCCCTTAATCCATCTCTGAGTTTTAAAGTATTTAGTAGGGGCTCTTAACTGAAATCGAACTTTTAAAGTTTAGTTTTTGTGAAAATGTATATTTTATCATGATGCCACTGGTCATGTTGGCCATCTTATTTTTAATATTTTGAATTTCTCTGGAATTTTCTTTAAGTTACCTTCACTTTTCTTTATATAATTTCAGTGAGAGCCATATAACATTATGGATTCATCTGAAAAATAAGTGCAGACAGATTTTATGGCGTCATATTACTTTTCAAGCAAAGTCTTTCAATATTTACCAACTATTTTAGAACTTATTATTTTGAAACTCACAAGCGAACTTTCTTATGTAATAGGAGGAAAATTTGACAGCTTTAAAAGAATTATTGGGGGAAAACACAATTGTCGACAGGAAAAGAAAAAACCTAGACACTAGAATGTTGAGATAAATTAAATATCTTCAGAAGTTGAATACTGCAACAGTAAAAAGAAAAATGTAATGTGGGCTACTGCATCCTGATCCCTTGAGAGTGAAATGAAATACATATACAAATCAAGGAGAAAGCAAACAAAGAAGATAAGCACACGGATCACCCTTCCAATATTAAAGTTGCTATTAATTACAACAAGATGCATTAATTTCTAGTTGTGGTGAAAAATGCCACAAAAATTCCGTATATATATGAATTAATGTAAAGAACATACAAGTATCCAACAAACAGGAAGTAGATAAGTGATGGATCAGAACATGGGTTGAACAGTATAGCTTATAATATGAAGCCTAATATGAAGCCTGCTACCAAATATCAAGATGCTCTGATTTATAATTAATAACAAAACATTCGACAAATTTCTTGTATAATTAATCAGTTTTAACATGTTTAAAGATATTTATGCAGTGAAAAAGAAGAAGTTAAGTAAAGGATCCGAAAATTTGTCACACAATATTGCTACCAATATTAAGCTTAGTACCAATTACAAATACGTTTATCAATATTGGCTATATCATGGCGGTCTGTAGCGGAGGAAGCCGTAGTGAACTGAGGGAATCACTAATCTTTGGCAGGAAAATTGAAAATCTAAGTCAATTAAGATTGGAGTCAAACACACCTTCAACATGCTGGGTACAAACTAACAACCTCAGTGTTGACAGGCTAGTGATACATACTCAAGGCCCTTAAAGTATCAAGAAACTCTGATCTGTAGTTGACAGGCTAGTGATACATACTCAAGGCCCTTAAAGTATCAAGAAACTCTGATCTGTAGTTGGCAGGCTAGTGATACATACTCAAGGCCCTTAAAGTATCAAGAAACTCTGATCTGTAGTTGACAGGCTAGTGATACCTACTCAAGGCCCTTAAAGTATCAAGAAACTCTGATCTGTAGTTGACAGGCTAGTGATACATACTCAAGGCCCTTAAAGTATCAAGAAACTCTGATCTGTAGTTGACAGGCTAGTGATACATACTCAAGGCCCTTAAAGTATCAAGAAACTCTGATCTGTAGTTGACAGGCAAGTGATACATACTCAAGGCCCTTAAAGTATCAAGAAACTCTGATCTGTAGTTGACAGGCTAGTGATACATACTCAAGGCCCTTAAAGTATCAAGAAACTCTGATCTGTAGTTGGCAGGCTAGTGATACATACTCAAGGCCCTTAAAGTATCAAGAAACTCTGATCTGTAGTTGACAGGCTAGTGATACATACTCAAGGCCCTTAAAGTATCAAGAAACTCTGATCTGTAGTTGACAGGCTAGTGATACATACTCGAGGCTCTTAAAGTACATACTCAAGGCCCTTAAAGTATCAAGAAACTCTGATCTGTAGTTGACAGGCTAGTGATACATACTCAAGGCCCTTAAAGTATCAAGAAACTCTGATCTGTAGTTGACAGGCTAGTGATACATACTCAAGGCCCTTAAAATATCAAGAAACTCTGATCTGTAGTTGACAGGCTAGTGATACATACTCAAGGCCCTTAAAGTATCAAGAAACTCTGATCTGTAGTTGACAGGCTAGTGATACATACTCAAGGCCCTTAAAGTATCAAGAAACTCTGATCTGTAGTTGATTAGTGAAAAAAAAATCTTATGTATGTTATCAAAGTGAAAAACAAAAGTATGCAGGAAATAGACAGTAGAATCATGACTATTGTGAGAAATCTGTCACATGGAAAAGCTTAACAAAAATTAAGCTTGGTACCAAAAACACATGAATACACAATAGTTTACCAATATGAGGCTTCATACCAAATATAAAGGAGCTTTATTTTTTAGTTGCTGAGAAAATGCCACAGAAATATGTTACAATGGATGCACAGAAGTAATGATAGAAGGAGGGATGGGAGACTGACATAGGTAAATCAATATACCTATTCTCTGTTGAAGAGGGGTATAGGAATAGAGGTCACCACTTTAATGTTTTTCACAGTAACAAAAGAAGTAAATCATTAGTAAAATCTATTGGAGTTACCTCCCCTTTTAAATTAAATTCTTTAAAAATTTTCAATAAATAATAAATGAATTAAAAAACTCTTGGAAGAAAAATCATTTTAAGAAAAAAATATAACAAAACATATAAATTATAAAGAAAATTTATGCAAGTTGCATTTTTGGTTTTGAAAAAATATCATTAACATTAAAATGTCAAAAGTCGGACACTGGCTTCCATTTTCATATTGGAATACTTATGAAACTTTCGTTTAAATCATTACTGATCATCTGAGCCACTACTATTATTGAACATTCAAAACATCTACACATTCTAATAACAGAAACTATATAATAACTTCATCAGTATCCTCTTAAAAATTAGGATTAGTAAATTTGAAAGTGCTTTTTCAAGTATTGAGAGAATTTTTGTTGATTATGGATACACATTATGTTTTTTAGTTGGTTAACAGTAACACAATAAGTGAACATTTCATACCAAAGATTTTTTAGTTTTTATTCATATATTTCTTTTTGTTTAGATTTATTTTTTCCCCTTGGGTTACATACATACTACTATATGTGCAAATAATTCAACAGCAGTTGTAAAACTGATTTATGTTATTTTTTTATTTTAAATATATGGGCAAAAGTGCACATGAAATTCCTTGGAGTTTTTAGTGATGGGATTCACAGACGCTAATCCAGAATTTGAGATTAAAGGGGTGCAGCCCAAACATTTTTTTGTTAGAGTTTTGACATGTTTAATGCAGAAAAAGCAATGTTTTCAATTTTAGGGGACCTGTGGGGTCTGAATTTGCCCATGATTCAGCTCTAATATGTCAAGAAAATGTTGGATAATCTTTTCATTGATAGTGCTCACAGCAACTATGAAAGATGGTTTGCTGTTTTTGTATAATAAAATACTGATTAATAGATTTATGTTTAAGCTTATTTAATGGATCATTTGTTAATTATTTCCTTAAAATTGATTGGCAAGGTCAGGAGGTATAACTTATTATCCCCAATTATTGATATGAAGAAAAGATAGAAACATCTAATGATTTCATGAGAAGTAGGTAAAATAAGAAATTAAGAAAAATTATATATATATATATATGTCTATATTGTAGGCAGTTGTTTGACGACAGACTTCTACCACATTAGTAAATCTAAAAACTATTAAAAAAATGTAAAACATCAACTTGGCCTATAAAAAATTCTGTTGATTTCCTAAAAATAAAAGTTACAATATTAAATCCTGTTAAATTTACTTTTGAATGTTTTTTTTTTTTTTTGGAACAGCAAAAATAACTGGATTTACAATATAGTATTAGTAGAGTTTTTTTAAAAGTTCTCTATTTGTTAAGTAAATGTCTATTAGCTCTACTGTAAAAATTAAAGATGGAAAGTTATTTGCTAATTTTTCTATAAAACATGAAAAATATATGTTACAATCAATTTAATACAATAAACAGTTGAACCTCATTAGTTTTTGATTCAATTTAGCCAATATTTATTTGATGATTGTACAGTACCAAAGTCACTTTAAGAAGACATGGATTTAAACAAGCAGATGAACACCATATAAAAATAAGGAGATGTGGTATGATTGCCAATTAGACAACTATCCACCAAAGTTCAAATGAAGTGGATGTAAGCAATTATAAGCAACCGTACGGGCTTTATTCATGCATATTTGTTTACAGCTAAATGATATTATTGCTTGAAGTAGCTTTCAACACACATTGAAGTCAGCAAGGAACCTTGTTCACTTAATCCTCCGTTTCTGTCAAGGAATGGCTGGATACAATTTTGCCATTAAATTCAAATTAATTTTCAACCATACCTAACACTCATATCAATTCCATAGTATATTTCAGCAACAGTACTCCATTTTCAACTGACTTTGTTTCCAATTTAAAATTTTTTGGCAAATGAAAAATATTGTTCGTGTCTTAGTAGTATACAAAGCAAATGGCACAATCATCATTATTAATTTTGACTTTTTAAGTGCATCACCAAATTATGGTAAAAAAGGGTAAAATAGATTGTTGAGACAGGACATTTATTTACTGCTTATATATGTACATCAAAACATGCTCCTTCCATAAGGTTTGCAGTGACAGGGAACACAGTATTCACAAGTCTGTAATACTTAACAGTTATCTCCCTTTGACAAAAATTCTAAAATTTGCCAAAAAAAATCAGTATTTTTTAAAACAAAATTTTACTAATATCTTTTTGTCCTAGATTCTAATGAAGTTCAACTTTTACTAATACAGGTTAGCAATGTGATATTGACAAAATGGTTGTTGTTAGTTATTAGTAATTGCAATTGTTAGTAGAAGCTATGCAAGATGATCTTTCTTCATTCTTTGTAAAGAGTTGCAAAATCATTATCAAGCAAACTTTCCATAAAATATTTATTTACACTGTATGGTATCTTGATAATAAGTAAAATTGTAATTCATATTTTATATGAAATAAGATTATACTTCTTCATTATAATTCATTTTAATATTCTATTTCCAGGAAAAATGAAAGTTATTTAATCATCCAACATTCAATAATACAGCATACATAAAAAAACAACTTTAAATCCATTTTCATAAAAGTTTTGACCTGTCAAATTTCTTTTTTAAATTAAGCAGAGCTCACAATTCGCAACCTATCTTCTTCTTTTATTGACCCAAGTTTAGGACTGGGAAACCCCAGAAATCAGTTTGAGTAATTTTTATGAGATACCCAATATCATTGAGTGAAAAACAGTTTTTGGAAATTTCCTTTGGTCACTGATTCAGGAAGAGTTAAGTCTAAAATATGCTGACAGAGGAAGAAAAGACAAAAGCAAGAAAAAATCAGTCATTAAAAACAAAAAGTCAAAGTTTTGTGTTTTATAAGAGTTATCTCCAGTGTTTTGAGCAGGTATATATATTATCATAAAGCTTACGAATACATTTTCCTATCAATTTTTAAAAGCATTTTCTTTTAGCCAATATCAATGCATATGTTTGTATTGAATTGCCAGGAAATCTATCTGTTCACAAAAAATGTAAAACACAATTTTCTCACACAAAATATAAAGACATTACATGCTCAATAGAAAGAAAAAACTCTTGTAAAATCATGCGAAGAAATACAATTTATGAAATAGACTGTAGTGAATACAGGGAACATCAGTTGATATTTTCAATTACTTTTTTATGCCATTAAAGTCTATCTTTGCACGAATTCACAGAAATTAATTTTTTTTTTTTTATTTCCACAACATTATCTATTGAGGTTTTTAATTCTTTTTAACTGTAGGTTAACATGACAACCACCCGCAGACCCAGAGCAAGGATTTTTTTTTTGAAAAAAAAAAATGAAAACACTACTTTATAAATTTTTGAGCATCCAAAGTGCTCTTCTGGATTTACCTTCACCAGAACCAATCAAAATCTAAACATTTGAATGTCAGGCAAGTATAAATAGCTATAGGTAGATATGCAGCAGCTATATGACAAAAAAAAAGTAACTCAAACAGAATAGCCAAATGTACCAACATTCAATTTGCCTGAGGGAGTTCGAACCTTAGTTTCTTAATAATTTCTTAATTTAGCAATGGGGGAATTTTAGATAATTATGTTATAAATCATGTCAGTTCCAAAAAACTGACTACTGAGCTGATGATACCCTAGAGAACTAACAGTCCTGTTTCACCTGTAACATGAGTCTCAGACATAAACAAAAAGACTTATTGATTCTCATCTTATGTGTTTATAAGATTTTTTTATTCTGTCCAATGATATTATTAAAATTGAATTGTAATATAAGTGCATGTAAATTTGTATTGAACTAATCTAAATATATCAATGGAAATGATATGTCCTTCCCTGTCTGCCTCCCTCCCTCCTTCCATTAGCTTAACAATAATGCAACTCTTTACAAGAATGGTAAGAGTAATTTAAATGTTTTCAATATTCACCTTGATAAATAACTGTTACTTGGGGCATCACTCCATAGATTCCATTTTGGCAATCCACAAACCTATAAGACTCAAATCAAATACTGAAAGACGGTTAGTACTTTTTCACATAAGTTAAAGGAAAATATATATATGAGCAAATTAATACAAAATCTACATTCAGTGCCATTGTGTGACGTTAAATATTGTGCAAGTTTTCAAACAACATCAAGTAATGGGTTTTGACATTTTTGTTTACAACATGGTTTTTAAATACTATTTGAAAATATCACAGTATATTTTACTTGTTGATTTATTGCTAAACATAATGTCACAGGGGGAATAACTCCACAAAAATTCTTAGCAGCAAAATGGGAAAAGCAAATCTTGGAAACAAGACAAAAGCAAAGCTATCCAAAATCTGTATTGTTTGTGTTACTGGAATCAAAACTTTCAGAAAAGCTTGACATTAAACTTTTCCACATTCTTTTCTTCTTACTTGATGTTTTCCCCTGGTTCGGATTGGGTGTTTTCATTCCATTATTTTTCAAGATTTCTAATAATTCGTATCTGAACGATGATATATCTTGTTTAATTTCTGTAATATCATCCTCTGTCACACCTTCACCCCTCAATGGACCTCTCTGTTTCTGCATGATGTATCTCTTAACAAGATCTTTCATCACACTCTGAAATAGGCAACCAAAATCAAAGAATTTTAAATCAGTATTTTAAATATATCTTATTATCCAGTAGAAAATGTAACAACTAGGATAGGAGGACACAAATGACTATAACTTGTAAAGTTTTCTCCACCAAAACTTTACCACTTGTGTAGCACCAGGCACAGCTATAAATCTGGTTTGCACCATATCACTTTTTTGACTACCATAATAGAATTATACAAAAAAAATGTACATGATCCAGAATAACACGAAAAACCCAACCACGCTTTCCATGGTGTCTTCCTGCTATTCCTACATTTTAAAAATATGTATTCCTTCTATTCCTACAAACAAAGTACAATAGCTGTTGTTTTAACAATTTAGATATAATTGATTTACAGGTAAATAAGTGCAAAAAAAATGCACCTTTTTAGGTATTTATGAAGAATTAGGAAGATTAATGCTACAAAAGTATTTTAACATTATCATAATATTTTCAAACTGGGCATTGACGAAAACTCCAGCAGTTTTATGGATATTTACCTCAAGTTAATTAGCTTTATGTTTTTACAACCTAATCTGATTTAATCCCTTGTTTATTCAAGTATTCCTCTTATTCCTACATGGATTTCTTACAAATGACATACCAGATTTTAAAATGTAGCAATAGCAGGAATAAACCCTTTCCACAGATGTCACTCCAGTGTATATGAACATTTCAATGTTCAACACATTATAATATAAATGTTATTGACATAAATAAGATAAACAACAAATCAAAGCAAGAACTGACTGTACTGAATTCGTTGTCTATGAATAGCAATATTTAAGTACATTTCAATGTTTTTGGTAAGATATATACATACTTGTTTGTGTCATCGCATACTTAAGGCTATTCATATATAATCTTTCAAAAAATTTCAAACTTCTAGGCAAAGTCAAAAAGTCCATAAAAACTGATAAAATCAAATGCTATCAAGTAATGGAAAACAACTACCACATTCATGACTTGGTCATGTAAATTCTTCATTAATAGACTTAATAAAACATAATGTCATCTTGATTTCTAGAAAAGTTGTGAATAAATTGAAGTTGGATTCTAATTGGCTGCCTTGTTTCAAAGGGAATTATAAAGAATCTAAGGAAAATAAATGAATGTATTTTGGTGGTTTTTTTGTCATTATCATTAGGTTGCTGTCTGATTGATGTATACCTTACATTGCCTTTCATTAATACACCACATATGAATTTAAGATAAGTGATGCTGGGTCAAGTAAGCTAAAAAATACCATCATTTTGTTTCAAAACAAATGAAAAATGATGTGTATATGACAAAATCTATTGTTTCAGAAAAAATCTGTTTCGTTATAAGAGCCAAGTAAATAGATGTTATATAAGTACTTCTCATAGTTCAATATTAATCCAAGTGCATGTTTTTTTTAATGTATTTGATGTCAACCAAACAAGGATGAAAATAAATAACTTCCAGATTTATTAAATATATCTGTTTAATGTGACCTGAAATAATAAATAATTTGACAGATAATCAATACACACCTGATATCTCACTTCTTTTTCATTTATTTTCTTTACAATTTTCTGCAAATAAAAGAAATTCAATATATCATTTTAAATATTTAAAAATTTTAAAAGCTATTGATTTTTAGTGTTTTAAAACATGCTTGTGCAAAAACACACAGTAGTGAAGAGTTTGTCAAAGAGAGAAATTTAGTGATGGCATATAGTTTTCAACATAGACTGTTAAATCATAAATCAAATTAGAGTTATCTCCCTTTCATAAATTTAGTATTAATAAATGACGCCTATAATTTTAAAGCTAAATAAAATTTCTTCATTTTTTAAATTTAGTAAAAGCTGTATACATGTTAATCATTTCATGGTTTTTAAGACTTTTTCCTAAATGAAGACTTCATTTGCACAAAACTTATGTTGAAATTTTCACTGTAGTACTGAACAGAACAAAACTTTACTGATGCCAAGTATTTTCATTTAATACAAAGAGAAATTCAGCCAATTTCTAAAAAAATGCCAATATAACAAAGACTAACATTCTGTATGTGCCTGTCACAATTCAGAAGCCTGTAATTCAGTGGTTGTTGTTTGTTGCTGAATATCATATTTGTTTTTCATTCATTGTTTTGTACATAAATCAGGCCGTTAGTTTTCTTGTTTGAATTGTTTTACATTAGTCATTTCAGGGCCTTTTATAGCTGACTATAAGGCATGGGTTTGCTCATTGTTGAAGGCCGTACAGTGAATTAGTTGTTAACTTCTATGTTATTTGGTCTCTGGTGGAGAGTTGTCTCATTGGCAATAGTTCCACATCTTTTTTATTTCTATAATAGGGGAAAACAATGGTGGTATTACCCCTTTTAGAATGTGTTATCACCACTAATGTTTGATGATGAGTTATCTCCACTTATGTTTGAGAATGAGTTATCTCTGCTTATGTTTGAGAATGAGTTATCTCCACTTGTGTTTGAGAATGAGTTATCTCCACTTATGTTTGAAAATGAGTTATCTCCACTTACTCTAATGCTTTGCCATCTGTTTCTTTTCTGTTGTGTTGAGCAAGCACATAATTTAGTTTTAAACCAGCCCGTCAAGTATACAAATGTTTTTGGGCTGGGTATAATATTAAATGGACATGGCAATGTCCCAGTGTCTTCAAAATAACTCATCCATAACTTGGACCTTGCAAATTTCCATTCTTCGTCTGCTTGACTCTAAAAATAGAAATTGTTGGTATCTTTTACAATAACTATAAATAAACAATTCTTTATAGATGACCCTTACAAAATGGCTAAAAATCCAATCAAATGAATTATGATAGATTTGACTATTATTCAGAAATAATTAAGGTAGTTTCAGGCAGCCTATGTCTTATTGGAGATTTTATCATGGGTAGGATATGTTTTCTGAATTTTTTTTACCAGTAATGCAAAGGATCAGATCATGGATTGAAATTACCAAAAGATTTAGTTTACACATGGTTATATCCAAGAGAAACCATATAGAGGATACTATCATGTTTGGACAAACAACATACTGTAAGGTCAGAAGTTAAGCACATTTTTGCAAAGGGCTTAAGCTGCCTTCAACCTTGACAGGTTGTACTATCATAGGGTATAGTAACTCACTCGTAAGTAAATAAATGTCTGACTCAAGGGCATCAAAGTAGCCGAAAAACATTAAAATATTTTCAGATTAAAAACAGATTTAAGGATATATCTATAAAGAGTGCAATGATATCATCAATCAAAAGGTGCTGTTGAGTAATTTCTAGGGTAAAAAATTAACTCATATGTTTTAGAACTATCACCTTTGGGTAAATGGTGAATTTACAGTAAATAAATTCAGACCGTGGTAGACATTATTATCTGTGATATTCTGTAGAAAAGTTATGAGTATTTTAGTATTTTTTATGCAAGTTTCATCTCAACAGGTATCATTGGTTCTTTTTACCTTTTCATGTATCTTATTCAAGCACCTGCTATGTAATGTAAGAACGAAAGTTTGTTCAGTTTGATTATCAATGGTGGAACAAAGAGAAACCATATAAAATAATTAAAATTAGAGCTATTTTCCTAATGCTTGTAGTTTAAAAGTTTGGTTGGCTTGCTTGCTTTGTTTATATAAATGTTTGCTCAAGCATTGTAATTAAGATTGACATCTGCAATCAATAGATATGCAGGGCTTTTCAGCTTGTATACATTATACTTAAATGTTATTGGATGTTAAGTATAATGCAGAGTATAATGTATACAAGCTGAAGCCCCGCTCCTATTGTTTGCAGATGTCAATCTTAATAACAATGCTTGAGCAAAAATTTATACGAACAAAGCAAGCAAGCCAACTAAACATTTAAACTACAAGCTTTAGGAAAATAGCTTTAAGACATTTTATGCAGGCCATACAACTTTGCAAGTAAAATTGAATTATTGTTTTTAGACAACATAAAGCACAACTTTTGTCTAATGTTGATTACAATAAGCATACTTTTTTTAAGGAAAACTAAGCAACAGAATGTGTACACAATATCGACAAACACTGGCAGCAGAAATATACAGTATCTTCCAGCAATTAAATTAAACTTTTTTTCAAACATTGCAACCTGTATAACTTAACTATTAACTTAAGAAGTAAGCAGATCTTCAGACAAAATGTTTTGTCTTAAGTAAGTCACAGGTAACTCAATATGAAAGATGATTGATATTTCTTATTAAATCTAAATTTTCATCTACCAAAATAGTTACCTAATGCTTTAACTATTTATAACATAAACCAAACATGTGGTAACCAATTTTCTTGCAACTTAAGTCAGTTTCTCACAAGATGTTTAAATATTTGTAAGGTAATGGAATTGATGCTGCTTAGGTGAAACAGATTGATACAAATGATTTTACCTTGATTGACCACCTGAGTTACACAAGATAAATTGTGGTTTTAAAAACTGATTTTTTTTTACCCCAAAAGGCTCTAAACTAAGCAAAAGTAGGAATAACTACTTCCTAGAAGATTGGTTAAACATGAATTATGTAATATCTGAAGACAAAGGCTGTATCATTGACAAGACTTTCTTTTGAAAAAGGTATGGTATTATTAAATGGAAAATATCTGAACAAGGACAGTTTCCAAAGACTCTACCAAAAGCCTGGATTTCATTCTGATCTATATTGAAATTCAATTTCCACACCATAAAGATGTCTGAAAGAAATAATAAACTTCATGCACATCTTCATAAGGTTTTCTTAAGTTGTACCAAATTTCACTGGAATCAATTGCATTAAATGACTCATTGTCAGATGGACTGACAGAGGGTAAATGTGATTCCTATATACACTAATCTTCAATTGAGGGGAAGATAATAATTATAAAAGTGACCCCTTGTCTAACTGACAATGCAGTATGAAAACTAACAGGAGCACGAAAATGAAGAACATCTGATTGCAAAGCAGAATATCGGTGTTCTTAAAGCATGACCTTATCATTACGGATAAACATAAAATAGGAGGTTGCTTACCAAACTATCAGTTTAACTTAACATAAAAATTTATCATTACAAACAAACATAGATAGGATGTTGCTAACTATCAGATGACCAGCATAATTTGAGACAGATGAACATCATGCTACTATGTCTATGCCACGTAAAACTTTGCTAAGAAGCTTGGAACACATAATATTTTATCAATCATCATGATTCCTAGTATTAGGACATGAATACTAGTAGATGAATCAGAATTAAGTAATGGTAACATCTTTACAGAAAACAATTACAGAGAAACAGTGCAACAAACATTGATCGTAAACCAAAACAAAATGGCAGTCACACAGGCACACTTTACTTACAGATATATTAATGTATGAACTGCTCATCATAGCAATCAATAGATTTAACAAAACTATAAAAGCTAAGAAACTGTAGCTGCCAAACATCAATTTTCCCACAAATTCTGTAAACTCATGTTTCCCTTGCAACTCAGCATGAGATAGGTCAACCAATCCAAAAATAGCCCAATATAAGGTCTGCAATATTTCAAACAGACTGAAAAAGATAATTTGAATATACTTACTGAGATTATTTGATAGGAGTTGCTCATCATGGCAATCAGCATGTTTAACAAGACAATAAAAGCAATAAAACTGTAGCTCCCGAACATTAACTTTCCTATTAGTTCTGTGATCACATGTTTTTCTATAAGTTCAGCATGTTCTAGGTCCACAAGTCCATAGGCCGCCCAGTATAAAGTTTGTAAGATTTCAAACATACTGAAATAACATAAAAGTTAACTCATAGAGACTCTCTGACACTTGTAATAATCTCATATATAATATAAGCAGCTGCGCTATGAGCACGTGATGAGCGCTTCTTATGTATATTGATATTGTTGCCAAAATAAAATAGAATATTTAACGTGCGTCTTCTAAGAAGTTAGTAAATTGGGGGCTTATGGCTTTGTAGAAGAACATGCATGAGAATACCTTTCGGTGTATGATTATTGCCTTAAATATGTTTGAAAAAATCCAATAACTCTAGAAGGACAACCAAGCAAATGTTCAAAATCAAAAGCAAACCTGCATTTACCAATTCCAACCATTGTGTAAAGCTTGGAGTAATCTAATCCAAGCATATTAGAGCTAGTGAGAAACATGTAAGAAATTGCCTTAAATCTGACAGTTAAAGTCCCATAACTCTGGAATGATGAATCAAAAGGTATTTTTTAAACTTTTAACAATTCCAATAATTGGTTCAGCAGCTTCTTATTTTAATTCCAATAATTGTGTAAATTTAAAGTTTCCAGTAAATCAATCTAAGCATACACAAGTTATGGCACAAAATTTGAAAAAATGTATTCAAATCTGATGGTTTAAGTCCCATAGCTTATGGAAAGACAAACCAAAAATCATCAAATTTGAAAGGGAACTTTCCTTTATCAACCTCAATAACAGATTAAAGTTTTGATGAAATCAATCAAACTATAACATTATATATCAGGCCTTTTTTTCACTCGCTTAAATTGTATAACATCTTGTCATGTTTGGGTCTTTTATAGCTTGCTATATGGTATGAGTTTCATACAATGTTGACAGCTTTTCAGAGACCTTTAGTTGCTAAAATTATTTTACCTCATTTGGTCTCTGGAGGATAGTTATCATATTGGCAATCATATCACATCTTCTTATATTTACATTAGTGTGCAATATGTAAACAAATGTTAAACATTTCATGAATTAAGTTTCATAAAGAGAGGCGAAAGATATCAAAGGGACATTCAAACTCATAAGTCGAAAATAAACTGGAAACGCCATGGCTTACAAAGAAAAAGACAAACAGACAAACAATAGTACACAAAACACAACACAGGAAACTAAAGACTGAGTTACACAAACCCCACCAAAAACTGGGGGTGATCTCAGGTGCTCCATAACTAGGGAATGACAAAAGTGAAAATCCTGAAAATTAAAAGGATGCTTACTTTGATAAATTCTAGACCTGTGATAAAGTTTCAGAAAAAAGTTTCAAAGAAAAATTTCATCCTACAATTTTCTTTAAAAAATTGAATAAATTTACCATGGTTCAGAGGATAAGATTTTTTGTAAAAGTTTACAGATGATGGATTAAGGTGGAGGTAGACAGGCGCCAAGTAATAGTGATAGTTATTGGGCCAGCTGAGCTAAAAATAATGGTAAAAGTGTCAACATATATTTGTTCCGCCTAACATAAGTTCCACTGGAAAATTTGTTAAAAAACTATGCCATAACATCTGTTCCTATTGGAACAAATATTCTATAACCTTTATTCCGTAAGGAACAAATAATATAATATTGGTTCTAGTGGAAATAATATTACAGAATATTTTTTCCACTTGGAACTTGTATTTGGAAGGAACTTCTATTTCATGACATCAGAACAGTACTGTAAAATCAGTTCTATGTTTGAATACATGCTAAAATTGCAGCAGAACAGGTTTTGCAAAAAAAAAATTGCATCTTAAATTTTGATAGCAATATTTGTATGCTGTATTTCTTAAATTTCAATAATTTATATCTCATTTTTGTCTTTTCCTCAACAATCGCAATAATAAATCCATTCTCAATTTTATGCAAAACTTTCTGTATTTACAATATCATATTCTAATAAAATATGTTTACATGAGAAACAAAGAAATGAGATTTACATGACGAGATGACATAGGCTGTTAAGTAAATAATAAATCAAATTAGAGTTATCTCCCATTCGACTCTTTATTTCAATGTTATAGAAGATTCAAAGCAATAAGAAAATCAAACTTTCAGAGTTACTCTTTTGTTCTGATGACAATGATGGATGATTGTTTTACCTACAGTGGCAAATTAAATGCAAATACATGTGTAAGCCAGAAATATGTAAATGAGATGTAAATATGTCCACTGCTTTGTACTAGACAGGATGCTGAGTTAGAGTTTTAAAGTGCCAGTTCACAAGGTAAAGTATGCAGAAAGACAAGTCAACCTCCCTGGACACAATATTCTGTTGCTAAGCCAACCAGTCTTTGCTCTTTCTCCTTAATGCCATATGCTAAGTGGAGAAGCAGAAAACACCAACTTTAAAGTCTTTTATTTGACCCAGCCAGGGATTCAACCTAAAATTTCCTGCACTTGAGGTGAGCATGCTACAATGAGACCACCCAGGCAGTTCTCTCTTTTATTCTGATATATTTCTGGTAAAATTAAGATAGATTATTTTCATCATAAATCTTGTTCTTCAAATTGTAGCAAAATTACTCATATCTGAGGAAAAAAATCATGCATGGTGTATTTGCAACTGTAATTTTAATGCAAGAAAAGATCTTACAGATGCATTTTTTTTCTCAATCCCAGAAAATTGGTATTCACGAAAAATATATGAATCCACAGAACAACATAATTCTTTTTTAAAACATGTCTTTAGTTTTACTTACTTTGCAAAACTTTTGAACTTGCGATCACAAGAATCATGCTGGCCTGTTGGGTCTGCATCACACTCCTGAGCTCTCAACGTTGCATAGTACCAATAAAGATGATTTAATCCACAAGCAAATGAAAACAACACAAGAATATATACACCACAAAACTTCAATATGTCTAGAATCATACGTCCTAATGATATCTGTAATGGCCCTAAATGTGGATTCACAGTGAATATGTAAATGAGTTTTAATGAACTGAATATATTAGCAGCTGCAAAAAGGGCTTCAGCAATTAAATTAGGATCATAAGCTTTCCAGTGTTTTCTCTCTAGTTCTGCTAATTCCTTATGACCTGCTGCTATCTCTCTTTGAACCTGAAATTTAAAAATAATTGCTGTGGATTCATTATTTTTCAAGGGGTACCATTATTCATAATTTCTTGGATATAGGAAAACCATGAATTTTAAACGAAAGATATATTTTCAATAGGCTTGTATGCCAATGATTGCAAAACCACAAAATCAAATAGCCATGAAAATACAATTTTTCCTCAATCCACGAAAATTGGGTACCAACGAAAATAATGAATTGACAGTGAATGTTTGAGCAAAAACTTATTAGCTAATAAAACTTAGACACAATTACTGTGACTTGACAGATAGTACTGCTCTCAACCTATTGCAATTCATTAAAAATTCTGAACAATATCCACTACAGGATTTGAAAATATATATAGGTGTTGTTAATGCTTGTACCACGTTAGCATATCTTTACTTTGTAGAAAAATTGCATATTTGATTTTGACACTGACTTGATCAGCAAGAATATCAAGCAAACCTTCAACGGTGGTCTGACATTCGACCTTATGAAGTTCAAGTATCAAAATAACAATTGCCATTATTTTATTTATCAGCAATTTGTCTTAATCTCTATGTTTTGTTTGGTTTAGAAATGAAGTAGTGAGTAAAAGTATTTTACATGTACAATGTATTATGATAGTTATTTGGTTGTATGAATGACGGCACGTGCATTTCATTGATAAATTGACAGGGATTGACATGAAAACATGAAGATGCTGCAGTGTTATCTGAAGCTATTCCTAATACTTTGGAGTATCATGAACTGTCCTTGCCCTAAAAAAATATTAAGCAGCAGGATTAAAGAGAAAATGTACAAATTGCTGATGATGTTTAAAAATGTGTGAATGTAAACTTTTCTGTTCACTTTTTTAAAAATTGCAATGAACTTTTAAAACATCTTAGTAATATAATTGGCTGATTCAATAATTACCTGCACGTAAGCTATAACCCTGAGAGTTAGTGTAGCTATATACAATGAGTTTGTAACAAAATCTAAAATATTCCACATGTCATGAACGTACTCATATGCACCCTCATCCCATAGCTGTTTAATTTCAGCCCATATGTAGCCTGCAAAAGAAATATGCATCCATTCATTACATGTACAACCAAACCACACAAGAGTTAACCAATTTTCTTGCAACTCATAGGTCAATTCTATCTACATTTCATCCAGAGCTATTTAAAATAAAGAGGCACTGAAACCAAAATTGGTCAGATATACATGTATCAAATTGTATCACCTGAGTAATATATCATTTCATTACTAAACAATTGCTTAAATAGTTTGAAGTAAAAAACAACTAACCTGTTCCAACAAGATTGGCTTACACATGTATGGGTTTTGGTTGTAAATCTACACACTGCCATTAATAAATAATTTTTCACAGTTTTGACAGTCAAAACATTTTTGTGAGTTTTTATTTTTCTTGTATATTTTCTCATAATGTTACAATTTTTCAGAGGTTTTGTTATATTTAGTTTTGTTGAATTTTCAGTAATTCTATATTTGATTCTGTTGAATTTACAGTTATTCTATATTTGATTCTGTTGAATTTTCAGTAATTCTATATTTGATTCTGTTGAATTTACAGTTATTCTATATTTGATTCTGTTGAATTTTCAGTAATTCTATATTTGATTCTGTTGAATTTACAGTTATTCTATATTTGATTCTGTTGAATTTTCAGTAATTCTATATTTGATTCTGTTGAATTTACAGTTATTCTATATTTGATTCTGTTGAATTTTCAGTAATTCTATATTTGATTCTGTTGAATTTACAGTTATTCTATATTTGATTCTGTTGAATTTACAGTTATTCTATATTTGATTCTGTTGAATTTACAGTTATTCTATATTTGATTCTGTTGAATTTACAGTTATTCTATATTTGATTCTGTTGAATTTTCAGTAATTCTATATTTGATTCTGTTGAATTTACAGTTATTCTATATTTGATTCTGTTGAATTTTCAGTAATTCTATATTTGATTCTGTTGAATTTACAGTTATTCTATATTTGATTCTGTTGAATTTTCAGTAATTCTATATTTGATTCTGTTGAATTTACAGTTATTCTATATTTGATTCTGTTGAATTTTCAGTAATTCTATATTTGATTCTGTTGAATTTACAGTTATTCTATATTTGATTCTGTTGAATTTTCAGTAATTCTATATTTGATTCTGTTGAATTTACAGTTATTCTATATTTGATTCTGTTGAATTTTCAGTAATTCTATATTTGATTCTGTTGAATTTACAGTAATTCTATATTTGATTCTGTTGAATTTACAGTTATTCTATATTTGATTCTGTTGAATTTTCAGTAATTCTATATTTGATTCTGTTGAATTTACAGTTATTCTATATTTGATTCTGTTGAATTTTCAGTAATTCTATATTTGATTCTGTTGAATTTACAGTTATTCTATATTTGATTCTGTTGAATTTTCAGTAATTCTATATTTGATTCTGTTGAATTTACAGTTATTCTATATTTGATTCTGTTGAATTTTCAGTAATTCTATATTTGATTCTGTTGAATTTACAGTTATTCTATATTTGATTCTGTTGAATTTTCAGTAATTCTATATTTGATTCTGTTGAATTTACAGTTATTCTATATTTGATTCTGTTGAATTTTCAGTAATTCTATATTTGATTCTGTTGAATTTACAGTTATTCTATATTTGATTCTGTTGAATTTTCAGTAATTCTATATTTGATTCTGTTGAATTTACAGTTATTCTATATTTGATTCTGTTGAATTTTCAGTAATTCTATATTTGATTCTGTTGAATTTACAGTAATTCTATATTTGATTCTGTTGAATTTACAGTTATTCTATATTTGATTCTGTTGAATTTTCAGTAATTCTATATTTGATTCTGTTGAATTTACAGTAATTCTATATTTGATTCTGTTGAATTTACAGTTATTCTATATTTGATTCTGTTGAATTTTCAGTAATTCTATATTTGATTCTGTTGAATTTACAGTAATTCTATATTTGATTCTGTTGAATTTACAGTTATTCTATATTTGATTCTGTTGAATTTACAGTAATTCTATATTTGATTCTGTTGAATTTACAGTAATTCTATATTTGATTCTGTTGAATTTACAAAGTATATTCAATAAAACGAAATATCCTGGAAAATTAGGTTTTGTGATTCTCTACTCTTAAAATACAAAGGTTAAAAAGGGTTAAAAACATTTTATCTAAGTTTTACTTCAACTTATTTTTTAGAAATAAGATGAGAAGAAAATTTGTCAATCATACCAAACCTATTGTGATATGAATCCTCATCTATTTTGAAAGACATTTATGAGGGTCTAGATGGGGTTTACAGAATATAGAATACCCGTAATGGGCAAAAAGTGGAGAATAGAGGGCAAAATACAGAATAGAGAAGAATGAGGTGCTAAAATATAAAAAATAGAGAATAATGGTCAAAATAAGAATAGACAAAATGGCAGATAAAATTAAAGAATAAACCCCCCTACCATCAAGACCCTCATTTATACTACTTAAAATCAACAACATGATAAATCAGGAAACCATTTCAAACTTTACATTTCTTTGATCATTTTGAGGAAATAATTATTCTTATGAGAGCTCAGATATTGCTTAATATGAAAACATTAAGGTTTGTGTAAATCAAGTGAGTCTACATAATGTTCTGGTTTCTCACTGGAAAAGACATAAAAACATACATAAAAATCATCTTAGGCTTGAGGGATTTTCTGGAGCAGATGGGACGTGAATTTGTTCTTCTATTTCATTTGGCTTTGCCAAACTAACGTTTTTTTTTATCCAATAAAATTGAGAATGGAAATGGGGAATGTGTCAAAGAGACAACAACCCGACCATAGAGCAGACGACAGCTGAAGGCCACCAATGGGTCTTCAATTCAGCGAGAAACTCCTGCACCCAGAGGCGTCCTTCAGCTGGCCCCTAAACAAATATGTATACTAGTTCAGTGATAATGGACGTCATACTAAACTCAAAATTATACACAAGAAACTAAAATTAAAAATGATACAAGACTAACAAAGGCCAGAGGCTCCTGACTTGGGACAGGCGCAAAAATGCGGCGGGGTTAAACATGTTTTTTGAGATCTCAACCCTCCCCCTATACCTCTAGCCAATGTAGAAAAAAAACCACACAACAGTACGCAATAACTACTTTCCATTCTAATCAAAATATTTTTAAACCTAAAAATAGCAAGATGTGGTATAATTGCCAATGAAACAACTATCCACCAGAGACCAAATGACTTAGAAATTAACAACTATACTGGTCACTGATGGCCTTCAACAATGAGCAAAATGCATGGAATGAAAACTTATTGTTTCTTTACATCTGTTGGTATGCTGTGTTTCCTTGATTCCTACTTATATAAGATAAATATTTGTACATTTTCATGTTGGTAAGTTTGATTGGTGCATAGTGTCTGCTGCTAACCACTGACCAAGCCACTGACCAAGCCGCTGACCAATTAAAGAAGCTCTATAATCCAGTACAACTTAAAATTTTTTGCAAAATAATGGAAGTCTCAAATCCTAAACATTATATCTCTGAAATGTTATCTGTACAGTAAGATGTTACTGTAAATTTGGGAATTATTGCAATGTTTTTATTATTGTGAAAAATGCGACAGGATTGTAATCGCAATAATTTAAACTCGCATTTTAATTTTTTATAAAAAAATGAAGCAGGATTTTTCTCAGTATCAGAAAAATAATAATCGCATTTTGGTTTAAAATGACAAAATCACAATAATAAATGCATGCCATAATTTCTGAATTTACAGTAATCAAATGTCAGGACCATCAGGGAACAGAGACCCAAGTTGTATTCTCATGTTAGTATTTTTTTGTAAGCACTACACCCCAATGTTGTAAAATCTGTAGCAAAGTACATATGGCAGATAGTAATATACTGTAAATTCCTGCAATTTTTTATTGTGAAAGTTAGAATAAAATAGGGATGGCAAGATTAAAAATTTGCATTTCAAATTCTGAAAGCATCATTTGTATGAAGCATTTACTGAAATAGCAATAAATAATCTCTGATGTTCTCACCTTATTGTCCATTCTATAAAAATCACCATCATAAATGCACACAATATTTTAGATTTTACAGTAATTTTTTTCCTTCACAAACCACAATGTTAAAATATTTCTACCTGCTACATATGCTAAAATCATCCATTCTATGTTAGTGGCAGGTGCCCCTCTCTTCTCCTGATAAATCTTGGCATAATCATAATCCACCGTTGATGCTTGGCCATTTGGATGGACTCTATTTGGATTACTTACTCCGACTCGCTGGGAAACCAAAATGAGCAATACTGCAAAGAACAAGACTATAAGTTAACTATAAGTTAAAGATCTCATTATGAAGATTTGTTTATAACTTTTGCTGTTTGATGGCATCTATTTTTTTGGTTTTTCTTAATTTTTGTCGTCTTAACTGTTATAAAATTTTTTTTTAAAAAAATGCACATTTGGTTTTTCAATGGAATGACATATGAATTAACACATTTTGTAGTCTAGGCCAGTATCTCTTAATGTCATATTTTTTTAAGAGCCAACGGCTCTTTTCACAAAAAATCTTAAGAGTAAAAATACTTGTAAGTCATACACATTTCAGTATAACTTACGATCAATTTTAATCGTAAGATTTTTTGTGAAAAGAGTCGCTGTATATTACGACAAAGACCATGAACCATTTTTAAATGGTCAATTTTGTTGGGATACATGCTAAAGTAAAAGGACTTGTCTAAAGGACACACTGTGTAGTTACAAATAAATGTCCCTTTCTATCGATATTACAACTATTCCATATATAGAATGTGTTTTCTTTGCTTGTGACTAAATTATGACATAAAGACATGTCTCTGTGATTTGAGCTAGATAAATACTAAATTTTGTAAATTGTGCCAACAACTTAACACTTTACTGATCCATAATGTGTTTCCTTTGACCTACTGGAAAGGGGGAGGGTGACAGGGTGAGGATCATTTTCCAAATTCTGCTTTTTTAAAACAAAATTCCCACTTCCAACTTGTTTTCCTTCTTTTTCCCAGATCCCACCTTTTTGTACCCTCTATATCCCACATTCCCACCTTTTTGTACCCTCTATATCCCACATCACAAAAGTGTGTCACCCCTTCCTACTTGATTTTTACCTTCCAATAAAATCAACATCAAATGGTCCAAATAGAGTTGACAAATAATACCTTTACAATATCTTCTTTATTAGGTCCTAAGTTTATATTACAATTATTCATTTATTGATTTATATAAATGTATACTGCACATGTTATAGACAAATCTATGACTAAGTCATTTCTATATAAACAGTTCAAACAGTTCAATTAATTGAAACTAATTGACATCATTTGTAAACTGAAGTAAATCATAAATCAAGGAAGATAATTTCAGATTAGTTTGTTCCTGAAACAGATGAGAGAGTCTTAAATCAACACTTTCATGTGATCTTTGACAGTACATGTTTAATAAAGCCTTTTACATGTTGTTTCTGCTGGGGTAACCAACATCAAATGATTATGTTAGAAGATAGAAATTTTCTTATCAATGTATAGAGGTGTCTCATTCTGACTTGATTACACTGAAATTGGTTTATAATTGCAAAAGATTATAAAATCATATCAAATCAATTCCTTAGATGTGGATATCTAAGCTTAAAGTCCATGTAACCTTTCTGCAACATGAATGGTTGTTATACTGGCAATGGATAAATAGTAACATGTTAAAAAAAAAAAGATAAAAAAAAAAGAGATTCAGCCTGAAAAACAAGCAACAAACAGTCGAATTGTAAAAGAAAACCCCCCAAAAAACCTAAATAATGGTTTTAAACATATGCTCTCATCTGAATGTGTCAGATAATTTTTTCAAAGATAATACTTGTTTTTAAATTACATCCTGGATTTTTGTCAAAGGTAGCTAGATAGTGAGGACTAGTTAAGAGCAGAAAATCTTCATACTTTCAACAAAATAGGGGACTTGGAACTTTTGGGAGTGTAAAGTAACCATCCATGTCATTTGAATACTTGTGTATAGTCTCATTGGCAATCATACCACATCTCCATACTTTTTATATACCAGTAGGTTAAAAAAGGAAATGTTTGTGGTTAAAAGAAACAGATCTATTTGGTCTTTTTGTGGTCAAAATTCAATCTTTTTTTTTATTTCAGCTTGATTCAAAATAAAATGCTTTGTTGAATACTTTTGAGCATAGATAATTGTAAGGTTAGTGTGTTAATATTGAAATCGATATTGCTACAATGAAACAGCTGGTTTCAAGTGATATTACCTCACATCTACATAAATTATGGCAAAACTATTTTGATAAACATATGGCCCTCCATACTTTTTTAAAACTGCTCAAGCTGACCTGGAGTTTAATCTTGCAATTCACATTGGATAACTCCTTTCCATTGTGCTGTTATTAAATTATGACAACCGTAATGCCCTTCTCTTAAGATAAAAATTAGAAAACCAAGAAAAGTGGCCAAAATCAATTGGGGATGTCATTAAACTGTAAAAGTTGTTATTTTAAAATATTTTCCTCGCACGACAATGAAGTGACATTTATTTCAAGTCAACAGAAATCGGTTGCTGTAACGGCAAGGAATCACAGTTTCGTCAATGTTCACCTCTCAAGGTCAAAATTAAAATCTAAAAATGTACTTTTTTTCAGCAGGGGTCACTTGCACACCAATTTGGGAATTCTTTTAAAAGAAAGAATTATTGAACCCAACTGTAGACAATTGGTATTGTGAAAGGGCAAAGCCTCTTAGAGGGACAGTGTCAACCATGCCTCATGTCAGTGGCATCTTACCTGAATAGAGACAATTTGTATCTGAATAGCTAAAGTAGGTTTTTGTTATTGTATGGGGCTCCAGTAGGATTCCCCCCTTAGGTCACAAGGACTCTTTTAAGCAAATTTAACTACGTCTTTTAAGTAAGGTTTTTAAAGGTCACAGGTTGTTGAAAATGAGATGTCATGTCCCGTGGTAGCCTGCCAAACCCCAAAGGTTGCAGGTTCAATTTGACCATGTTCAAGCCACTTCTATATCTTGTCAAATGAAGCAATATATTCAAATATTAAACTTATTGATCAGAGATATCAAATTTTTTACTTAAAATCAATTAAAGCTTACATTTTTTTTGTAAGTAATAAAACAGCTAAACAGTTAAAGTTTCAAATAAAAAAATCTACTTGAGTGGTCTTCTTTGAATAGAAATAATACTTCCAAATTTGATTCAAGTGATTTAAGGATGTCATCTGTATAAAATATAAATTACCTCCCTTTTCCTAAATTGAAGGAATACTTTGTAAAAGTGTCAAAAAATGCAATGTAACAATCTGTATCATTATGATGACTAATAGAGAGAAAATACTGACATAGAGGTCTCTAAACACAATAGCTCTAATGGAGCTCCATTTAATTAAAGCCATATCTATTATGTTTATCAGCGGAAATAAATTTATGACAAATAAAAAGAATAGGTAATGCCGAAAACACATAATTAACACTGCCAGGCATATTTTCGGAATTAATTTTTTTTTCTTTCTGTCTTTTTTAACTGGTGGCATTTAAAATAACCAGAAAGAGAAATCCATATAATGTAAATGTAATAGAACACCAAAATTCAAATTTACAAAATCAAAATAATGCCAATTGTGAAGAAATATGAAGAATTCATTTAATTTATATCTCTCCAAATATATTTTTCAGTAATGGAAACCTTCTTCTTAAATTAAGTTAAGTGAAGAAATATGAAGAATTCATTTAATTTATATCTCGCCAAAAATATTTTTAAGTAATGAAAACCTATTCTTAAATTAGTTTAAGTTAAGTTGGAAGGAGTGTAGAATTCTCTTCACGATTATAAAACTATAGCGTTACATAATACAAACCTAGGAATGTGAAGTAAGACGAACTGTGACACATAAATTTTATAAACGGCTTCCTTAACAACTTTCCAGGGAAGCTCTTTGGTGCTACCAAATAGAAAAGTGAAAGGAAGGGAAACGATACTCCTATACAGATGGTAAGAAATGTTCGACTAACAATGTTCCTCCGACGGAACCCTGGAAGACCGTCATACCAAAGAGAGGCTAGTAGCTGCTGACAGTTTGGATGAGCAATGAACTGAAATAAAAAGCATAATAATTTCATACTTGGATCTTAAGTGTTTTTTAACTGTTTTTTTCTGGAAAAATGTTAGTAATTTAAATGATTTTAAATTGGTTATTCTCTTAATAGAACATTAAACTTAAGAAAATTCATATACACAAAAAAGGTTTTTAAATTTCACATAATTGGTCCAACTTTTGGTCCAACTTTTGGTCCAACCAAATATTGCACTTTGGATGTTTTCTTCAGATCACATGTAGTCCTATAGTATTTACACTTCAATTGTTTAATAAGCAGCTGCACCCAGAGCGCATTAAACACTGATCTTGTCCATAATGAAATTGTTGCAGAAATAAAATGGAATATTTAGGACGCATCTTATCAGAAGTTAGTAAATTAGCCATGTACAAAAAGATTCATAAGGCTATCCTTCAGTGTATGAATATTGCCTAAAATATGACTATTCAAAATGTCCAATAACTCTGCAATGAAAAACCAGAAAATTTTCAAAACCAAAAGCAAGTATGCATTCACCAATCCAAACAATAGTGTAAAGTCTGTAATAATTTGATCCAAGCATAGTAGCACTAGTGCAGGACATGTAAAAATAAATGGTTAAAAGTCCCATAACTTTGGAATGACAAATAAAATAAAATTCAAAATCAATAGGTACCATACTTTCACAATTCCAACAACTGTGTAACTTAGTTTCCAGCAAATTGGTCCAAGCATACTCAAGTAATAGTACAACATGTGAAAAATTTACTTAAATCTTACTTTAACTGAAAAAACTCTTAACAACAAACCAGAATATTTTCAAAACAAAAGGGAACTTTGAAGTTATTATCAATCTCAATAGCAGTGAAAAGTTTTGAGAAAATCAATCAAAGAATACTCAAGTTAGCATAATGAGAAAAATGTTACTTTTTCTTGAAGTAAGTACCGTACTCTGGAATGAAAAAAATTATAATCATGAAAATTTAAATGGAGCCGGCTTTGATCAATTCTAGTCCTGTGATAAATTTTTAGGAAAAATGAACACAGCAGAAATTAATAATTGTACAGCATTTGTGAAAATGTTAGAATTTCCAAGAATAAAGTCACATAACTCTAGAATGATAAAATTGGAAATGGTCAAGATCAAAGGGGGGCTTTCTGCAGTCAATATTTATGTTATGTTAAAATTTTATGAGAATAGGTTAAAGCAAATTTGAGTTATCATACAAAGTGGGGACATACAGAATGATGGACTGACTGACAGACAGACTATGGTATACCATAATATGTCCTGTCTAAGATGAGCATATGAAAACTTGTATGTTGACCTCTTTTGATTTTTTGTGCTGTTGGGTTGCCCATCTGCTTGAAATTTAACTCTCAACTCCTTTTAATTATACACGATAAATATTTTTTATTTTAATTAAAGAGTCCAATTTTTTGACATAAAATTGCCCTAATGACAAGGTCTGCAGAATCTCAGAAATCCTGCTTTGCTGCAGATCTTTAATTCTTAGATTTCACTTTATAGGTGATATATTCAAACCAAAATTGGAAAATTTGCTGTAACTTGAATGTAAGCTTGGCAGTTGTCTTTGATATTAGATAAATAAATTCACCATGATAATTAGTTTGTGACATCGATTGGTAATATTTTTTTGTCTGACAGCTGTTCAGATAATGCATTTGAAAATGATATCATACTTCCAACTGCAGGCAATAATAACTGATGTTACTTTATCAGTTGTAATCAGATAAAGGGTGTAATACTGATTTTTTTTAGTGCAAATAAAGTACATTTTTGTACCAATGAGTTAAATAAAGTATTGTTTAAAATGTTTATAATAAGCTTGTTTAGTGTTTTTTGGCAATAATAGTAGGCAGATTTTGGCAAATGTTTCGTTTATAACAGAAAATTGTAAAAAAAAACTGTTTTCAATAAAAGATAACTCGGGTGTGTAAGATGAGAATTAGAAGTGAAACTATCTCCCCTTAAATATTTTTTGACAACCTTAACTAAAGGCTCTATGAGCCTGTGTCGCTCACCTGCATCTTAAACAATGGCAACTTTTTGGTAAAAATCATCATGAAAGGGCAATAACTCTATAAAGATTTAACTTACAATTTCAGTCTTGTTGACGTATTTGAAGATCTTGTCTTGCTGGTCATTTTTGCTTTTTAAAGTTTCTATGTACAATTGTATCTTTTATATTTTTCAAGATATTAATAGGCAAAAACTTTAAAAAATGGAAAGAATCATCTTTAAACGGCAATTACTCCAAAAACTACTTGACTGAAGATTTCAGCTACATGTATGATGGCTTATTTGTAGATCTTATCTTACTCATCATTTTTGCTATTCAAAGTTTCTATCTGTTTATCATAATTTTCAAGATAATAAACAAAAAGGCTAAAAAATGGGAAAAATCATCATTATAGGGCAATAACTTCAATTAAAGGAGTTGACATGGTTGACTGACAATTTCTTTCATGTTGACTTATTTGTAGATCTTAATATCTTGTTGATTACTTTTCCTAATAAAAGATTTGTTCTATCTATTAAAGTTTCAAGATAATCAGCAAAAATGAATTTTTTTTTGTAGAATTTGACATTTAAGGGCAATAACTCCTACAAGAAGTCATCTGACATTTTTGATGTAAATGGACAGCAGGTAGATCTCAACATTCTGAACATTTATCTCCAGTCATATTTTCTCTTTTCATAGCGATTTTCAAGATAATAGTCAAAACTTGCATTTTACCCATATGTTCTATTTTTAGACATGTCTGCCATGTTTGTTTGCAGGCAGGGTCATCAGACACATTTTTAAAAACTAGATATCAAAATAATGATTGTGGCCAATTATGGTTAAATTTGGCCCAGTTAAGTTTCAGAGGAGAAGATTTTTGTAAGATATTAATCAAAAACGCAAAATAAATAGTAAAATTTTGTCATTAAAGGGCAATAACTACAATAGGAGACATCTGACAATTTCATACATGATGACTTATTTGTAGATCTTGTCTTTCTGATTATTTTTCCTAATTTAAGTATCTCTTTATCTATTATAGTTTTCAAAATAATCAGCAAAAATGAAATTAATTGGTAAAATTTGACATTAAAGGTCAATAATTCCTACAAGAAGTCATCTGACAGTTTTGATGTAAATAAACAGCAGGTAGATCTCAACATTCTGAACATTTCTGTCCCGTCATATTTTCTCTAATTCATGGAGGTTTTCAAGATAATAGACGAAACTTGCATTTTAGTTTTTCACCCCCTATGTTCTATTTTTAGCCATGTTGGTTTGCAGGTGGGGGTCATAGGACACTTTATTTTAAAAACTAGATACCCTAATAATGATTGTGGCCAAGTTTGGTTAAATTTGGCCTTGTAGTTTCAGAGGAGAAGATTTTTGTAAAAGTTAACGACCAGTCGACGGACTACGGATGACAACAGACGCCAAGTGATGAGAAAGCTCACTTGACCTTTCGTATATAATAGGTATATAATATGAAGTAAGACGACAGCAAGGGAAAAACATTATTTGAAGAAAGACTGATAACACAATGGCCAAAAAAAGAAAATTTCAATTTAAATAATGTGAACTTTGTTCTGTATAGCTGACTAGTAACAGTATGGGTCTTGCACAATGTTGATGGCAGTACAGTGACCTATAAATGTGTACACCTACATCATTAGTTAATTGGTAGATAGCTGTCTCATTGACAATCAAACCCACATCTTTTAAAATACATTGCAGTGCTCACCAACACTGTTCCTAGCTGCTGAACTGTAGCTTTAATGGTCCTTGTAATATTTTTTGACAATTTGGGAAACGCAAATCTAAAAAAAAATATAGCAAGTACCATAAGGGCTGTGGTTCAGCAGCTATACTGTACCAGGATGCTCTCAATATTATTAAATATCAATAAACAGAAACTGCTAATCTCTGAATACATACCTTCCTCAAATCATACTGTCAAGTGGGATATTTTTCGTGAGAGTTTTATTTTTGCTAATTTGAAGATTAAGATAAAATCTGGAGAATATTCCCTGGTGTCTTAAATAATCTTAAAGGAAGATTAGAGCAAGTAACAGGAAAAATTTGAATATAGAACCTAGCAAACAGATTTGGACTTTGAAATTGCGAAGTTTGATCTCCTTGAAAATCATCCATTATACAGTATGCACTTTTTGGGTCTTTTGGAAAATGTTGTTTGTGCTGTATTCAGACCCCTCTACCAAGAAATTTGTTTTGCATGTACACTTATAAAAATTGTGGTTTTTATCCAACGCAATCATAGGTTTGAATGTTGTTTTCAGTTTAGACTTGTTTGTATTTTTTCGTTTGGGCTTGTATTATATTTGCCTTTCTGGTTTATATGATCCGTTCATCCTATTTCAACTCTTCAAAATTCAAGAGTCTATCCTAAATTGAGGTAAATTATATGACCTTCCAAATACCGTTTCGATTCCTAACATCACTGAAGAGACATTAATTGTCAAAATCCAGATATGGTGTACTAATTTTTGCCTTTTGTTTGAGGTATACCACCTTTTCCGTAAGTTAATTGTTTTCTGTTTGGTATTAAATTAATAGTTAAGATCCATTTTGTTACATCTGGTGATCAGTTTTTTTGGCAATCGCCAATGGTAGTCAGCAGGGTTTAAGAACATCTGTTGTTCGACCCGTTAGTCTAACGCGTTTTGTTAAAATATACTTTTTTACCTTTTTGTTTTTTTTTTGGAAAATGTTGTTTGTGCTGTATTTAGACCCCTCTACCAAGAAATTTGTTTTGCATGCCCACGTATAAAAATAGCGGTTTTTATCCAATGCAATCATAGGTTTGAATGTTGTTTTCAATTTAGACTTGTGTTTTTTTATATATATATATATACATTAAATAATTATAAACAAAAAAATAAATGGGGAATGTGTCCATGGGACACAGATGATGCCCCTGCTTGTCTATCATATAAAGTTATAAAGGGACATAACTGAAAAACGGTAAAAGTGACACTACCAAAATTTGTACTTGATCTGAGTTTTGTGTTAATAACAATTGTGTATAAGTTTCATAACATTTGGTTGAGGCAAACTTAAGTTAGATAACGGAAATGAATAATTCAGCAATTTTTCCATTTGTAAAGGGGCATAACTCTAGAACAATAAGAGTGACACCCCAAAAAACAAACTTGGTCTGTATTTTGTAGTACATGTAATAACATTTGTGTATAAGTTTCATAACATTTGGTTGAGGCTAACTTATGTAAGAGAACGGAAACGAAAAATTCAGCAATTTTTCCATTTGTAAAGGGCATAACTCTAGAACAATAAGAGTGACACCCCCAAAAAACAAACTTGATTTGTATTTTGTAGTAATAACAATTGAAAACGGTTTAAGTGACACCACCAAAATTCCACTTGATATGTATTTTGAGGTATTAAACATTGTGTATAAGACTCATAGCAGTTGGTTGAGGCAAACTTAAGTTACAGAACGGAAACGAAAAATTCAGCAATTTTCCATTTGTAAAGGGGCATAACTCTAGAACAATAAAAGTGACACCCCAAAAATTCAAACTGATCTGTATTTTGTGGTAATAAGAATTGTGTATAAGTTTCATAGCATTTGGTTGAGGCAAACTTAAGTTAGAGAACGGAAATGAAAAATTCAGCAATTTTTTAATTTGTAAAGGGGCATAACTCTAGAACAGTAAAAGTGACGCCACCAAAATTCAAACTGATCTGTATTTTGTGGTAATAAGCATTGTTTATAAGTTTCATAACATTTGGTTGAGGCAATCTAAAGTTAGAGAACGGAAACCAACTTTGGGACGTACAAACGGACGGACAGACAGACAAGGGTAAAACTTAATGCTCCCTCCGCCAAAGCGGATGCATAATACAATAATCAGTTTACAATTTACCTATGGAGATTGGGTATAACTTGAAAAAAGGGGCTAATACATACAATTGTAAATACAGTGTATCTTGAACATTTATAAAATAATAACCTTTTTCTGTTTAAACTTGATAGCGAGTTTGAGACGGCTAAGTTTGAGCTTTTCCTGCACAGGAGGTTCAACAATTGGTTCCATGTGTGGATTACATGCTGGTGTATTGTCCTGATTTAACACAACTTCCAGCTCTTTAGATCCTCTTGTTTGGTCCAATAAATCCGTAGCAAATTCCTGACACTTTTTACCCAAACTTTCATATTCAAATTTAAATTCATTTTCTAAGTTACTCAATCGTCTTAATTCCCAACTTAATTCAAAGGCAGTAAGTATTGGGTCCTTACTGGACAGAGCAATCAAAGACGGACTAGCTAAAGCACGATAGGCATTTATCCTAGAACGAGAATGTCGTAAACAGTCATCTTGGCTTTCACGTAGACAATATTTACAATTACACCTAAGATTATGGGGCTTAGGTATTCTGTAACCCCTGTCCAATAAAAGTTTGATGATTTCATAATTGTCTCTGTGAGCAGCAAGAATGATAGGTGTGATATCTGGTGTGAATGAGCTGCTGGGTGCACTCTGGAGTAATGCCTAAAAATAGAAAATATATTTGTACTAGATGTTAATGAAATAGGTAAAATTTTGTGCCCAGTGAAAAATATAATTCTACTTGAAGTCTTTTGCAATCCATGAAAATTAAGAAAGTTAATAATTCTTTGTGTGAAAGAACTGATTACTCTCTGGTTAATTTCTGAATTTACAGCTAAGTGCAGTGGCTGTGCACTGTACTAAAATATTTATTATTTGTTTTTGGATCATGTAAAATATGCGAAAATATTCCAAGCAGAAATAGTTTGTACAAATCTTTTTGTTTTTGGATGTCCTAGTTGTCTCATTGTCAATCTTTTACCTCATCACCTTGTTTTTGTATAGACTATTTCTTTAATATTTTTTACTCTGTACTAATTCTGACTTTTAACACTTGTTTTTTTCTATATTGTTGACACCACATTAATATAAACACAGCTAAATTGTTATGCCTGAGCAGAGGAAGATGTCAGTAAAAAAAAGAAATTTCGCTGCAGCATGTCTGTGTTTAAGTGCATTTAAACATTCCCTTCACTGAAGTAATAAACATTGCAACATCAGCACCAATCTTCATACTTTACTTGCAACAAAAATAAACTATGTCTACAGCAGATGTAAGCCTCTTCCTATCTATCTGACAGACAACATGCTTAAAAACTTGAAAAGTGAAACAGTTGCCAAGTGCTCACTTGACAATTCTTTTGAGGTCTTTCAACTGAAAAGTTATGATACAATCTCTCTCCTCCAAAAACAAATAAATATGTGGTAAAATCATCATTGAGTTATTAGTATTTTTTCTCCTACAAATTATGATATTTTTTATTGTGTTGAAATTAAGTTGCCATAGAGAAGATTCTTATGTTTATCTTGTTGCGGGGTGTTGAAGTCTATGATGCATCTAGAGAGAAAGAATTTAATTGATGTAAAGATGCAGTATTTCTAGAAATATAATACATCAGTTATTCAATTTACGGCTAAATTCAAAAATTAAGTAAACTTTTTTGTTTGTTTATGATGGGACATCAAACAGACTTTTGTAAAATCTTCCTATTTTTCGAATTTTACTGCATGGTTAATTTTTTCTACATTCCTTTTTATCAACTTTCTGTGCTTTTTCTGTTTGGAAGATGAAATTTCATTTATTTTCCAGCAAAAATGGGGTTAGTTCCCTTTGAATAATATATTTACTTGAACCAGATCATGGTTCCATTTTTGGTCAAAATTGAGCAGACAAAAATATAAGCTTGATAATCATTTAAACATTAAAAAATAATTTAATAAACAAGATATGTGTCACTGTTAAACATAATGTGTAAAACTTCATGAATAACATTAAGTATCAGTCAGATTCTGTTCAAAACTAGTACTGGTAATACTCAGACCACATATGCTTGCTAAAAACGAAGACAATTTTGGTGAAAACTAGCCCTTCTTGAGAAATACTGGAAATAGATGTATCAGTGGAAAGTCAAAGTTATAATGTGCACTATACCACAATATGCATAATGATTTAGCGATCATGTAAACTATGAAAAATTATCCCGACACAATTAGTCTGTACAAATCAACAACACTGATGTGATTAGGTAACACTTAGTATACAATGTGGGAATTGAACCCAAAAACAAAAAGATTATACCCTGACACCTTGAAAATTATCCACAGATAAGTCTTAAACTGACATTAAGTTTATATGTTGCTTTTCCAGATGCCCGTCATGTTACAAAAAGATCTGAGATTAGAAAAAAGGATTAACTGTTAACACTACCCAAATTGTGCAGAAATTGAGAGTGATGAGATCGTCTTATCAATCCCCATCATTTTTTATCAATATATTCTACACAAAGTAAAATATAATTGACTTACCTTGACATTACATACTCAGTTGATATTTTGTTAATCAAGAAATGTCAGATAATATGCACCCCTTATGGTTGAGAAACAAGACTGAATATATAAAGAGTTGCGCCATGAGCATATGATACACCCGTCGCCCTTTTATCTTGTCTTTATGCTTTAATTGAATTTATATGATCAACTAGAAATACTGCTCAAATAGACCCTCCCCCCCCCAAAAAAAAAACATAACAAGACATAAACACACAGTGGTACCCATTGACACAAAACATGAGTAATTTGGCACTGTTAAAGTTTAACTCGATTTTTGAACAAATAAAATTCTACAACTGTCCAGAGTTTGAAAAATTTGGACAGACTTTTTGACGATTTTTCAACGAATAGAGTCTATAACCCCGAAATGTCATATCAGAAATATATAAAAAAAAACTAAAGGGAGCTTATTTTAAATAAATATAAACAAGTCACCAAAGTTTCATGAAAACTGCTCTAAGCATTTTAGAGTTATTGTCGGAAACTGGAAAATCCCCCCTTTTTTATGGATAATGTCCCAATACTCCAAAACATAAAATCAGAAATTAAAAAAAAATTGAAAGGGAACTTATGCAGATATATATGAATAATTCACAAAGTTATGAAAACTGTTCAAAGCATTTTTGAGTTATAGTCAAAAAACTGGAAAATCCCCCATTTGTTATGAATAAAATCCCATCATTCAGAAATGATAAAATGTAAAATTTATAAAAATTGAAAGTGAGCTTACGTCAATCGATATAAACAATTCACCAAAGTTTCATGAAAATTGGTGAAGAGTATTTGAGTAATTGTCCTACGTTATGACAACAGTATATACCATAATAGTCATCCCATTAACAGGCGTATAAAAAAGGAAAGTCTTTAAATGTAGTGACCCAACTTTTTAAGATGTGTAACTTCATAACACAGTTTTTTTTCACTTCTATTGATTGCTTATATATAAGGTAAGACAAGGTCAATAAATGTACTTGAATTTTTTTGATTTTTGATTAATGACAAATTTAATTTCAGTTATTAGAAGAAATTATAAAATTAGATATATATGGAGGTGGGAATAGCCGGTATCCCATATGATGATTAACAGAAAAATTTTGTTAAAATTAATATTAATGATAAACATTTTACTTGTGTGCATGTACATGTCACCAACAGTGGTAAGAAAATACAATATGACAAGGAAAAATAACATATTTAAAAATAAAGTGGCCGTTGATGCTGACGATAAAGGCCATTCTTACCCTTATATATGGGCATAGTAGGACTGCATCAAAATATATAAAGGACATTTACATTCCTCATTTCCAGACACATATACATTATTAAGCATGGCAACTTCATCACAAAAGCAGCAGACAGCAAAACAATTCAATTACCATAGGAACCTGATAAGTTTATAAAACAGATATGTCTCATTTATCCAAAACAAAAGAACCTCAATTAACCAAGCGTTCTCTAGAGACTTCATCGTAATTGCAATGTGACTGAAGAACACAAAATGTTAATGCCGTATTATCAATCTGTATCGAGAGAAGTCTACTATATGATAACACCAGAGAAGAAAATAACAACTGATTCGATTTGTTATATATATGATCTTAATTCATTTCTATTTGTAATAGATCTATTCTGTAACCTGATGTTAAAATTCAATACTGTGCAAATAGTTATTAACTACTACAGATTTGTCCTCAGGATATTGCTATATCAAATCAAATAATAGGATCACATCAAATAGGAATGACCTGTTCTATTAGAATAAGTTTAATTTGTGTGTAAGTTTAATGATCCAATAATAATTTCATCACTAATTTAAAATCAGTTAAATTTTTCTGGTATATTGAAATTAATCAGAGTCGCAAAATATATGCTTGAGACAGATTTCAGTGCACATGATACTTCAAGTTTTAATAAGATTCAATAGAAATCCTTTAGTTCTAAATCAAACAAGAGATTTTTTTTTTATTTTAACGACCTTGCAACTGAGTGAGTCACCTACAAATTATAAATGAGTTCTGACTTCTTGAATTTTGAAATGCATCCAAACCTTATGTTTTATTGTGTTATTTTAGAGCTATAAAATAAGTTTTATCATATGATTAAGTAGAATTCATTTCAAGAATCCTAATGCACAATAAGGAAACTGGCAATGAACACTTTCAAGCATAACTAGATGCTAAGATTAAGTACACATGTACTATCGAGGCACTCATTTCAGACATACAAAGAACTTGCTTTATCTTTTTTTTTTATATCTTCATGCACATTCTGACTGAGTTTCAATAAAAGTGCTTGAATTTTCATTCTTTGTTCACAACCTACATGCAGTACAGAACTAATGGGTTTACCCACATCAAAAATTATTGTTTTCCAATCTTTAAAAATTATGACACTGCACATTTTTCACTTTTTCAAATGATTTTTATAATTGTAAACTTTTGTCTTTGCCATTTCCATATATTGAAAAAAGGACCCAAAGCTGGCTAGCCAAAACATTTGATAGATTGTTTGTTTGCTTTCCAGAGGAAAATATTACATGCAAATTTAGACCTATAATAAACTGTTTAAAAAAACCCGGTTACAAGTGATTAATATCATGAAATACCATGGCATAAGATTTTTGTTTGGTCAGGCTCCTTGAAAAATAAATAATTCAGGTTCAAAGTTGAATTGTGAATTTCTATCAAAAGTGGGGAGTCTCACTACACAGGCGTGCAGTCCAACAGCAGTTGACCTATTGCTGTCTTTTAAATTTTTGTGTCATAAGGTTTGCAGTCTAATTGATGTATACCTGACCTCTTCTTTTATTCATAGATCATCAGTTTTGCATATACATGAAAAGCCTTTCTAGATTAAACTCTATCAACTAAATGTACACTCCTAATAAAAAAAATATCGGAATTCAAGTGCAATAACTCTGGATTCACAAAGATTTTTTCCAAATTATATGAAACACAAAGTAATCTTTGAAATTGGATGGCAAGAATGTTTTCATTACACAATATCTACACTGTATTGTCATACAACCTTTCACTGGCAATGGGCTAGTAGATCAATTTGAAGAGATGAATTCAAACTGCAACTTAAAAAAATTGTCCCAATGGTATATGGTA